AGAAAAATGGGGCTGTGGGAATCGGCAGGTTTGGTGTTCATGGCACTAGCAAGCACCTTGTTCAGCTCCCTGTAGCAGGGTCATCCCTGAACACCTGATTCTTATCCTTCACCTTCCTGAAGAGCTGTTCCATGTCCGATGCCCTGCAGTTCAGTCTAGCAAAAGCCCGGCTGAGCAGGCTGCTTCCTCTGTAGTGATGGATATTCCTACTGTTGTGGCTGAAATCCTGGTGCTTGCTGTATTTCCTCCAGATATTTACCAGCTAACTGCCCCTTGGGAGACGTGGTGGGACTGGTCTAGCAGGGGTTATACGGCAGTCTGGAGCTGGTAAGGGTTGCAGCAGTCTGCAGAGTGAGTGAGGAGTTAAGTGCTGAATAAAAAGTTACGCAGTGCCAGCTTGCTTCTGGGCAGCAGGGAAGGAAGAAGTGAGCCAAAGGGACAAGGAATTGTGGGATTGCCATTGGCAAACTTGCTTGTATTTTGGTCCTGTATTTGCAGTTAAGTGGAACTTTATGGGCATTGTTAAACTTAACCCAGGAAATAAGTATAGAAATGCTCAGTGTGGGTGTTTGGGCGTATGGTCAGGCCCACATCATCCAACCTCGTGACTAACAGCCAGCGTAGATGTATCCATATATCCTCATTCTGGTCTGTGCTGGCAGTAATCAGGACACATTTCTTACCCGTAAATTCTTTTCGTGAGCCCTTGTTACATGGTTACAAATGTCTTCCCTTCAGAAGGCAAAACTGAGAATTCCCTATTGTAACAAACCAAACTTGGAGAAACATGCAACCGCTTTGGAAGTCATCAAACTGGTGAGTTGGGCAGACGAGGCTGGAACGTTGCTGCTGGAAAATTCAAAATCTCCTATTCCTTTGGGTTGTCACCTGCCTGAGCTGAGAGAAGGTAAAACAGTCCATTGGTCTTCGCTTGGGTAAGAGAGCAACAGAAAGAGAGGAGGTGACATGTCAGTGGAGATGCTGGTCTCAAAGACTGTAGAAAGGTGTTAAAGGGAATGGAATACAAAATACATTGTTCTTTTATAGCACCAGTGTCAAACCTTCGGCCTGTGGGCCAAGTCCAGCCCCCGGAGCTGTAGGATCCGGCCTGTGGGCTGGACCTGGTGCTGCATGTCCTGCATGTGGCATGGGTGTGCGCTGGCTCCAGGGCTGGTCTGGATTAGGTGCCGGAGCCAATGTAAAGGGCTGGGTCTGGAGGGGCACTGCAAGCAGTGCGTGCCTCAGACCGTCCCCCTGTGCTGTGTGCCAGGCATATGGCCAGTCCAGTCCTACAAGCCACGAGCAGCATGTGCTGGCCCCAGGGCTCACTGCTCATGCAGCAGAAGAGACTGGCATGGGGCATGTGCTGTGTGCAGCATGTGGGCTGGACCTGGCACTGCACATGGCTCAGGGAGTCCAGGGCATGGGCTACATACTGCGCCTCACATTGCCCCCCTTCCTGCTCTCTTCAGTGCCAGGGCCAGCTTGTGCTAGCCTCATGCTGTGGCTGGACCTGGCACCACAGGCACTGCAGATCCACACCAGTCCAGCGACACTCATCCACCTCTCGCAGCCAGATGAGTTTGACATCCCTGCTTTATAGGAATCTTTAGAAGTTTAATTGCCGATTGTCTCATGACCCATCTTAGCTGAAACGGGAGCTTAAGTTGAGCACAGCCTGTTTGGAAAACCAGTGAAAGAACCTCATTTACTAGTGCACTTGGCATGAATAAAGACCTATTGAGAAGGGCACATCTTTCTCTGAGACTTTAATTTACTTTCCCACCACTAGAGCCACAGTTGGATTTGGCAGTTAGTGTTTAGGAAAGTAGTGTCCAAAGAAATGGCATTAGAGGGCAGAGGTGAGCTAACATATTGCAGAAGTTGGCAGGAGTCATTGCATGCAAATAATGAATGACATTAAGGCACCACTGAGAAAGGGAGAGCAAGGTAGTGATAGATCTCCAAAGGGTATTGCATAAAAAGTGCAAAATAAGATACTGAGTTCCTAAATAGGTTGTCTTTACACATCAGCATCTTCTGTCTCCTCAGAACTCAGTTTGGCAAGGTAAATGGAGAATCGCTCTTCACCCCAGAGGTGACCACGTTTAAGTTTTGATGCTGGATGAAAAACTTTTACTCTGAAAGCATGTGCTAATTAACCAGATGTGGTGTTGGCTCGACAGAGGATGGACTACAACCAAATTCTTTTCTTACACTTAAAAATAAAAAAAAGGTTAAGAATTAATGAGAGTAATCATGATGACTTTGGGATGCGGCCTGCTCAGTGAGGAAGAAAAGTGTCTTTGAAGGAACGTGACTATTAGCTTGTTTGTTGTTTGAAAATTCAGATCTTTCCCCTCTGCAACCTTCCTCTTCTCGCCATTTCCTGGTATCATCCTGGCCCGGGAGCTCTGTAGAAGTATCTCTTTGATTGCATTCCTCTCCGGGGGATAACAGGTGCCTACTAATAGCTGCGTGCAGGTTTTGCCTCAGGCAGGAGCATTGAGATGGCGGCCTTTTAGAATGACAGGGGTGTCAAGAAAATTGTTGAAATAAACTGAGAGGGAAACAAGAGGGAATAAAAGGTCTGCGGGATAGAAGGAGCTTGAATACAAGGCTCTAGGTTAGAGGGGAAAATGCACAAAAGGTGGTGGAGAGGAAAAGAGGTGATGGAGGAGTGGCTTATTGCGAGGGGATCTAAAGTGTTTTGGCAACTCAGGATCTGAACCAGGACTCTGTGAAGTTAATGGAAAAGCTCCTTTTGACGTGAGTGGACTTTGGCTCGTCTCCCAGTAACTTAGTGAACTGATATTTGGAAAGAAAACAAAATTGAGATGAAACATCTCCTCCCCCCTTACCACTCCCATCCAACTTCTTTCCTTCAGTTGAAAACTGTTTATAATTGCCTACTCCCTGTCCAATAAACGAGCAAAATTAAAATTCCTTCGGGAGCGGTCTTTCCCAAAGTGACTGTAGCCTGACTCCTGGATGAGCGCTGATGATTTCCATGTGTGCGGAGCGGGGATTGACACACCTCTGTGCATGGCTTCCCGCGCAGCGCACTCTGATGGAGCCTTGATTAGATTTGCGGGAGCTTCCTCAGTGGCATTAAATCAGAGTGTTGCTGACTCAGTGTTTTGCAGAGATTAGACAGTGACCCTAATGTAGTATCACGGGTGCTCATGTAGGACGTGCTTGATTAGAAGGTCGCACAGAGTAAAGAGTGCATGTATATTTGTGTTCATTACCATTGTCTTAACTAGGAAACTGTGGATATGCCACTGGGACACTTTATACCCTACTCCTCAATTATAGCACATGTACTATTTATAACATTACTGAAATTAATGGATGCATGTTTTTGTGAATATAGATATCTATATCTATCTATCTATCTATATTTAGATATAGATATATATAATATAGATTTCTATCTCTGTCTCTAGATATCTAGATGTATCTATATATAGATACATCTAGTGCGTGCTTTCTCTCATTTTTATTATATAATATGAGAGAGCATGTATCTAGTGCTCCCCCCTCTATGTATATAGAGAAAGCATTAGATCTATCTATCTATAAATAGATAGATCTATAAATATAGATATATATATATGCTGTGTGTGTATTGGAAACATCTGTCTTATTGAACTAAAGGGTTTTTATTGTTTTGAAGTACTGTCTGACCGATGGGCATTGGTTAGTTAACCAGCACTCCTGTCATCCTGACTTCTGCTATCTTATACTTAATTCTTTCTTTGGCACAGTTTTTGGTAGCGTAACATGTAAACAAGGGTTGGGCTTTGTTTTCCACAGCTGTCTTAGCAGTTGAACCACTTTCTGTCATGAGTCATTTAAAGTATTTACTTATTTTTTAAGGGTGAAGGCACATTTATTTTTCTGAAGCTGCTAACCAGTCTATATAATTTGTCAGCCAAGCATTCAATGGAGTCGCTACTCACAACATGTACATACGAAGTAAAGGCTTCCCTAGCAGAGGCAGTCATGGATGAAATTAGCTCTTTTCCTTATGTGTTTGGCCTGTGGTTGGAGGGACTTGCACACTTCATCAGTTTTTTGAAGCGGTGCAAATAAAATGTATCATTTGTTTTTGGAAATTAACTCAACTCTACCACTACTTGAGTTTTTAGAAGTATAGTACTTGCTCAGAGGTAGAGGTAATTTTCAAGCTCTTTGGGACAAATCTTCCTGTTTTTGAAAAAGTGCTTAGCATGTTTTGAATGCTGGATATAATGAATAATGGGGCTACATTTGTCCATAGTTTATGGGGTGAGTCGGTTCTTGAGTGAGCAAAGTTGGACTTACGGTTGAGTTATTTTTGAGGGTGCCTGTGGACACCTACAGTTCTTGTTGATTTCGGTGGGAGCTGTGGGGTTTTGATCCTTTAGAAATCACATGGTAACAGTCTCAAAGTGGGTACCTCAAAATAAATGGACAGACCTGATACTTCAGGACATATCTCCGTGGGTTTGTATGAACTAAGAAATTCTTCCTTAAATTCTTCTTCAAAAGCAGGATTACTGTATGATATACTTTGTTAGCCTTTTTGGTGACATCTGTGTGGTGCAAGGTGATATTCAGGTGAGCTCTACTGTGCTAGCTCTGTTCATGCTAGCTCGTGATCTGGCCCCAGCACAGCTGCATTGGTGTGGTGTTGTATAGGAAACAATAGGCTCTTCTCAGGAGAGTTTTTTGCCCCGCATGCTATATTGTGCTAATGTAGCTATCTTGTTCCCAGTTGAGGAGCTGCATGCAGAGTTGGCATGTGGGTCTCCCTGTGGTACTGCTTTGCCCTTTATAGACAAACTGTCCGGGACTGGGTAAAAGGAGGAAGTTCTTCTGCAGTAAATTGTGGAGATAGAGACTTCTGTAGTTAGTATTTGGAACAAAATTTTTCTTACTGTATTTGGTGAATAAATCACAAAGAAATAGATAAATTGCAAAACTTCAAATCTTTTCTCTCTCTTGTTTTTTAGGGAAACGTCAGATTCACCATTTGGGAAACCAGCTGCAACTCAACCAGCACTGTCTTGATACTGCCTTTAATTTTTTCAAGATGGCAGTGAGCAAGCACCTCACCCGTGGAAGAAAGATGACTCACGTAATTGCTGCATGTCTCTACTTGGTGTGTAGAACAGAAGGAACTCCTCGTATCCTTTCACATCTGAGCAGTATGAAAGGTATATCTTGGATCCCTTAGGTAAAGCAACTTACACACTTGACAGAGTTAAAATCCCTGTCCGTGTGCTATTAATACAAACCTGCTTTTAGAACATTTAGACATTTGCTTTCACCTTTCCTCTTTGTATTTGAACAGAGAAATGTTTGGAGCCAAATTTTGCCTTTGCTAGGGGTATGAAGTAGCGATCATTCCTGTGTATCCCCAACAGAATTTGGCCCTTTGTAAACAATAAGATCTTGTATTATGCTAGAAGTACTCTCTTTAGTTTTATTCACTTTTCCCAGTGTTTTCAGCGTCTCCATCTCTTTCCTGGTCATTGTAAAATTCTGGCCTCTTTTTGGCCTTAATTTTTTAAAATAGGATTCCATAACAGTAAGCGTTAAGGGACAGAGCACTTTTCTAGTGGGTAGCCTGGCTAAAGCCCTGCTTTGGTGCACATCAAAGTCAACAGAGAAGCTTTCATTGCCTGCCTTGGTGCTGAATTGAGCTCCACACGAGCTGTACGCTGCAGTGGGATGATTGATGTCAACTTTAGCTGTGCAGCAGAGCAGCAGTGAAGCTGCTTTGTCATTGAAGCTGCACAGATGCATTAATCTCACAACCTCTGCCTGTTTAGGCAGAGAGGGGTATTTGGCTAGTGGATCCATGTGGCCTGTCATCTGCTGGCTTCAGCCTGGTGTTCAAAGCCCCTGCAGTTCTCTTGTGAGCCAAACTGGAGGATGCAGGCTTTCTTCCCCTCTAGCAAAGGAGAAGTGGGTTCTGTTGTTGTTTAAGCCATCACAGTGGGTGTTTTTTAGTGGATCCAGGTATTCAGCTGGCTGTTATCACTGCTGTAACTCAGAGTCATTACTGGGATTTACTCTTTTAACACCTGTGTGAAGGGAGGTTTAGGAAACTGCATATGGGAGATAAAGGAATTTGCTCAAAGATCACACAAGGCTGAACGTGGAACTGAACATGGATTTTCTACGCCAGTGTCATGTCCTTTAGATCATCTTTCTTTTGTCCTGAAGGGGTTTGTGTCAAAGTTGTCTTAAGTACTAGATGCCCATGAACTTAAACGTTCATATTTTGTACTGCCAGGTTTATCAGTTACAAGAGCTAGGAGCAAAATTGTAGCATAAAGTCAGAGAAGTGCACAAGAGATGTTCTGTAATATCCACCTGTACTAGTTTGCACTAAAGGAACTTTTTATGTCATGAACACCTTATTTGAATAATTTTTATTTTTATACCATTTAGTTTAATATTGTGTTTCTCTTTTTAGAAAATTCATTAATCATTTTCACTTCCAGATTCTCAAATAAAGTATTACAAAGAATGCTTCAGAAATATAGTGCATTGAGACAGCGCTTCAGCTGTGGAGTTGCAAACAAATCTTGGTTTAAAAATTTTTTTTTTCTGACTAAACTTTGGTATTAGAAAGCCTAAACTTTGGGGTAAAAGTGTCTCAAAGCTGTCACTTTTTAACCAGCTATTGTGCTAAAAAAAGTAAAAGCTGCCAGACTTTCACATTTTTAAAAGTGATAGTTGAGAGTCATAAAGTGAAACCGTCTAACAGTGACACAGCCAAGACGCGTAGATTTGATTTTGTTCCAACAGAGATATTAAAACATATCAAATGTTTTAAACAGCAAGGCTGCAGGGAACAAGCAAGCAATGTTGTTGGGCCAGTCATCTGTGTAGCAAGTGTTATTCTGTTGTTTATAGCACTTAAAAACAAGCCAAACATCTAGATATTCCTATAACACTCTGTTGAAAGTTTGTGTAATGAAGTTATGTGCAAAAAACACTGCAGAGAGTGGCAGTTCACAAATACCTAAATTAATTTGTCTATTTGTTTTTCTTTTATTTAAAATGTAGTTTCTTGTGTGATATTCCACACAGAAATGGCTGTGTATAAGGGTGTTAAGTCAGGCTGAGTCTTTTTATTTTAACAGGGCAAAACTACTTCATCTTTCTTCCTATGGTTGCCATGATATCTGGATCCCAAGAGGTGGTAGTATGTGTAGCCATCTGGCTCAATTATACATGTGGTGATTTTCTAATCTACTACATAAACTCCCATTCAGCAGCTAGAGTTGATACTAAGAGTTCAGCCGTGTTGAAAATCTTTACAGATCAGGGCGATCTGCTTGGAGAGGATGAATTCAGGTTATGGTGTGTACGTTTTGCTTGCTTTTGGCCATTCCACTTGTTGCTTTTCCTGCAGGAGCAATAGCTTGCAGTTCGGAATAAAAGCAAACGTGGAGGTACTGGGCACAGAATTCCCTGTTCTCTTTTTCTAGTATGTAACCTTTTCATTTTGAAATTTAGAGAGCTTGAGAGTTTGAAATGCACCTTGGGAAACGCATATTGCCTCAGATTGCGATGGGAGATTGTCCATTAGAGGGACAAAATCTACCATATTTTGATTCTGAGCCAGATAAGAGGCCTGCTCTGTGCATAAGACGCAGCGATGCTGCTAAAAGCTTTCAATCTTGGGAGACCAAAAGCAGAGGAAGAGAATGAGAGTGCAAAATAACCAGCAAAGCAGAGCTGTGCTCTCGGAATGAAGATACGTGTGCAGTTGGTTTGATTTTCATTCTCTCCTAGATGGTGTGGACACGCACAAGGCAAAATAAGAGAGTTGAGGGGCAT